ACATACCCTATCCGTAGGTAGTTGTCTCACTGCTCCCCCCCCCCCCCCCCTATCCCCCTTTTTGTCTTATGCTCTCCTCCTACCCACTATCTCCTGTCCTTCTACCCCGTGCTGTACCGTGAATCGTCAATGCATTGAATCAGTCACACATACATATGTCCACACATACACGCATATACACATGTATGCATGTTCACAAGTCCACCCACATGGCACCATGTATAAAAGTCCAAGTACCTTACCGCCTGAAGATCTACATATGCGCGACTAATCTCCTCGGTGGTTCTCCTCCTCAAACAGCACCATCCAATCTTCTCTCCCTCCAACGTCGAAATCACATTCGTCCCCATCTTCCTAGGCGGGCTGATGAAACAATGCAACAACATCACGCCCATCAACATCACCAACAAGGGGACCTACATCGACAGGGAACGGCGGCGGTGGATCACCCAGTTCAACATCCCCATGCGCGACACGTTCCCGGACGGATTCCCCATGGGGACGCCGACGTTGAACGTCCAGCGGTTCCTGACCGCGTTGAACATGACTCGTCCGGAGTACTTGGTCCCCGCGTTGGATGCGGTATATGCTGCCTTTTGGAATCCAAGTGCTAGTTCCAGTACCAGGACGAGGGCCAATGCCAGTTCTGGCACCACCACCACCACCACCACCACCACCACCACCACTGACGACGAAACGAAAACCGAAGCCGAAGCCTTGAAAGTATGGGAGCCGCGCGTGCTCGCAGACCTGCTGAAGAGGAACAAAGTCGTACCTGCATCCGTGGTCGACGAGTGCCTGTCGAAGATGGCCACGGGGGCCGTCAAGGCCGAGTTGTCGGCGAAGACGCAACAGGCGTTCGAGGACGGCGCGTTTGGCCTGCCGTGGTTCCAATGTGAAGATGTCAGTGGTCACAAGGAGGGGTTCTGGGGGTTTGACCATATTGGTCAGGTCGTCAGGTTTTTGGACTTGAAGAAGAGAGACCGTAACGACGATGATGATGATGTGGATGGGACCGTGAATGGGGCACCGGGAGGAGAGTTGAAACCTTTGCTGTGAGTGAGATCGTTTGTGGCTCCGCCCGACTCGACCTTCTCACTTCCCACTACTTCCAACCTCGCCCGAATACTTTGTACGCAGGGATGACGAATGCTCGACTACCCACTTATTAGTGTAGTGTACCTAACACCGGACAAATGTGCCGACAAGACTTCTTCGTCACTCGATATTTCCGTCCTTGGCACTTGTTACTTGGTGCTTGTATTTGTAAGTAGATCCGCGTTTAAGAATCTTTGTGCGGACGAAGCCCCTGTCTGATAATTGAGGTTGAGGATGGGGGGGGGGG